TTATCCTTAAATAAAAAAAATTTATGATAAAATAAATAATTAAACTCAAAAAATAATGATAAGATTAAATTAAATATTATTTTTCTCCTTTAAAATATAAAAAATTTATTATTTTAAAATAAATTTCTTTTAAAAAAAAACTCTATTACTTTACCATGATGGAAGGAGTATAATTTAAACAAAAATACTTTTATCTCCAAACTACACCAAATTACACAAATAAAACTAACCATAGATAGTGACAGGCTCCTCTCCCATTAATGACTGTTTTTTTTTTGGTCCGGATTAAAAAAAAAAAAAACGCTTTGTAATTTAAATTAAAATATTACTGTACTAGACTAATGAATATATTTATTTGCCCTTTTTGTTGTTTAATACTCATATTAAACTGCTTTATTTATTTAAGTACTTATTTATTTATTATATCCTCCGTTTTTGGGTAATTGAATTTTTTTTACTTTTTTATTTAAAATTTATTTTAAAATAATATTTTTTTATTTTAAGAAAGATATATATTTTTTAATTTTATTATTATCTCTTAATATTAATTATCTATCATATGATTAAAATCATTATTTATTTTTATTTATTTTTAAGAGTAAAATAAAAAATAAAAATTATTTCTAAATTTTTAATCTAGAGATAAAATTAAAAAATATTTATTATTTTGAAATAAAAAATATTTATTTATTTTGATGGTTTAAACCGATTTTATAGTTATGGAGTACTTGAAATTAAGTAGATGAGTATTATATTGGACCAAGCAGCTTTTTTTTTTTTTTAATAATTTAATTAGCAGTTAAGAGATCTTCAAACCAACATCACGTATGTAGAAATTAATTATTTTTTGACAATTTTAAAGATTTATTCTCATGTCAGTATAATAAATTTAAGAAAATTAATTTCTTTAAATGTTAATAATAAAACTTAAATAAATAATTTAATTTATAAAATAATATTTATTTATCAATGAATTTAATTCCTAAAGAGCTGTTATTACTCCTGTCATTTCATTTTATTTACCTAATTTCTTGACTTTATAGATATTTGAACAATTTATAAATTAATTAAAACTCCATAATAAAACGTTAAAATAACGCATTTACTCCTAGTAAAAGTTTTACTTGTAGATAAATGGGATCAAAATATTGCTGTTCAAAAATTTAAATAAATAAGTGGGACGAAAATGCATAAATGCAAAATCAGATGGTTCGGCATTTCTGGCCCCAAGAAAAAGGAAGACCACTAAAAGCTTCCTTTTTCATTCATTGCTATTGTAATATTAGCCTTTTATTTTCTTGTAAATGTATAAGAAAGATCAGTAGGGCCAGGATGAAGAACTTTCTACATCTTTCTTCAATCAGCATTTGCATCTCTGGCCACTTGGGGATCTTTGGTATTAATTAATTGATAATTATTTTTGTCTTCTTCGATTTAGGGTTTGAAATTTGGAAGATGTTTGTTATTTGGGAATTTAACCATGAAGATTCCAATTTTTCAATAAACATAACTTCCAAATTCTTCTTCTTAGTAGTAATAATTGACTAAGAATTATTTTTGTCTTCGTCAATTTAGGGTTTGAAATTTGGAAGATGTTTGTTATTTGGGAATTTAACCATGAAGATTCCAAATTTTCAATTAACACAACTTCCAAATTCTTCTTCTGAGTAGTAATAATTGACTAAGAATTATATTTGTCTTCTTCAATTTAGGGCTAAGTTCCAACAATAAGTCAAAAAAGTTTAGAGTAAACAATAAAAAAAAGGTTTTTTAATATATGTATTTTTATGACACAAGTTAAGAGTTTTGAAAAATTAAATTTTGACATTTAATTTATTAATCATCAAATTAAATTTATTTACATTACATGACAATGACTTTAAAATTAATATTAATTTTTATTTTTTTATATAAATTTATGATAAAAATATAATATTAATTTATACCTAAAAACACAAAGTAAAAAAAACTCAAAAAAATTAGGTTAAAGTAAATTAAAAAAAAAAAAACAATTATTTAGGGAACATAGAGTGCATGATGATGTAGAAGCTTTAGACATTTATCAAAGAGGAAAACAATGAAAGAAAATAAGAGCCACAAGTCGGAAATTCAGTGAATCAAAAGAGACAAAAGTAAACCAATGAGTTGATTATACAACGACATCCTCTTTCGGCACTTTCAATTTACATCTATGTTTTATTCCCCAAATCTTTCTTTAATGAAAACATAGTTTAATTATGTTAATTATGATTTTGATTAATTAACATAAGTCTGATTTAGAAATTAGTGGAAGCAACGTAGGATTAATATCAAAACAGGCAACAAACACTCATGCCTAATGATGTCACACACCCCCTTGGAAAAATATCTCCTTGTATAAGAAAACTTATTTTACTTTTTATATGATTTTTATAAGCAAATCAAAACTCAGTGGATCGTGACAACAAGCTCACAAAGTCACTTACAAAGTTATATTAACATTTATAATATCGTACAGCATTTTTAATTATGGCTTAGGGAAAAAAAAAACCTAAATAATTTTAACCCTCCTGGGACAGGGAGGGGCAAGCAAGTTCCAAAGCACCAATGAGACTGAAAAGAGGGGTTTCCATGAATTTGCGCCATCACCGTTGGAAAATGGGAGAAACCACACATACCTGTGCCAATGGCAAATTTTCTGGAATTTATTATTCTATTCTAGTTAGTGGAAATGGCCAAATGGGATGGGGTGCTTTAAAAAAATTATATTTGTGAGGTTAAAATTGAAAGTAGGGGTCCCAAAGTCGTCAAAAATTTGGTTTGAAAGATCAAACAGGATTTTGCCTCTGTTTTTTGAGATGGCATTGTTGATGCTGAAAACAATTTGACAATTCACAAAGTTGCCTGAGACAGAATTGCTAATTGACAGGTGGAAATTTTTTGAGAAAATGTCTCAATTTTTTAGAGGTTATAACCTCAAAAAATTCTGGCTCTTGAATACCTTATCTTCTTGGCTTAAGATAAGCTATCAAATTGGCCACTCAATTCAACCCTTTCGACTAATAATTCAGCTATAAATTCTAATGATTTTGGAGAGCACTACTGATAAAAACTTCAACTTACCACTTTACCAGTTCACATCTTAATGTGTTACAATATTAGTTATCATAATTGTAACATCTCAAGCAAACCTTACCATCGTTAAAATACAGGAAATGTGTCAAATATATAGTTTAACATTTATTAACCCTTATTGATATGTTTTAAAATTGAGGTATAATAAACCAAAGTGAGTTTTTTTATTTATTTATTTATAATCAATATGTATCTAAATCAGTTTTCACATTAACTTAATATACATTTAAAAAATTAATTTTCTCAAATACTAACTCAACAACTTGAAACTTAAATATGAAATACAAAATAATATTTATTTACTAATAAATTTAACTCTTAAAGTTTGTTTTAATTTATTTATTGTTAAGTTATACATACAATGCAAAATAACTATACTTTTTATAAAAGCTTAAAATTTCTCATGTCTAAGCTATATTATGATGTTGGTGTCCCTTTAGAAAGACATGAAGAATGATTTTAATAGATGTGATTAGGATCTCTGGAAGCCTCTAAACATCATTTTTCTCTCCTAAATTAGGTGACACGTTAGCTGGTAGGGATGTTAAGGTCTTGGCCACGTCTAACCCACCTGTGCCAATTACAATTATTGTTTAGGAGGGGAAATGATTATTGAGTTTGATGACCCCTTAACCATCTCTAGGGTTTGTGGATTCAAAGTATATGATTGCTTGCAAATAAAATATCAATTTGAAGTTCTCACGCCTCGACCTAATGGTTATAATCTTTAATTAAAATAAAGATCACCGCTTGTGAGTACATATTGAAACTCCAAAAATCTCATTTTTCATTTTCTCAAATTGCCTTAATAAAAAGAAAAAGGAAAAAACCAATTTGAACTTTGAAGAAATTTCTTTTTAGGTTAAAAATGGAATCATCACCTAATAGATTATTTTTGTTGAAAATGGGATACCTAAACAGGTCTAGAGGGCGCGTTTGGTTGGCCAATTGTCCCAGAAATTAAATCCAGGGAAGCCAAAAATGCAAGTTTAAGCCTCAATGGTGGGAAACTTCACTTGAATCCAGTTTCATTTCTCGTTCAGAAATGAAATGGATTACAAATGCACAAGTAAACTTTGAGACATTTTACACTCAAGTCTGTTAGCCCAACTGGTTGATGGATACACCTATTAGTTTACAACATGGTCCAATCCCTCCCACTAATATGTGACACTGTAATCTATTCAAAAACATTATACATGTATCATTAATGGGTTCATGTGATTCTTGAAAATGTCGGTTGATATATCATGTTCTTCTGCAAAACTGCTGCTTCAATACATGTGCACCCTAACGTGCCTAAGCTTTAATTCCCACTTTCAGTGTCTTAATTCATTCATTCCCATAGGGATCATATGATCTTCTGGACATCAAAATGTCTACCATGTGTTGTATAACAGTTTTGCTATCCGGTCTATGAGACTTGTCGAGACATCAATACATGATGAAGATTCAACCTGTCCTTACCCATTGCAGGAAGAGTTTTATCGCCAGCAGACATTTTTTGGACACTTCAACTTGTACACGGCACTTTGATGGTGCCAGGAAGAGTGAAATGTTGATCTTTCCATCCCCTATGTTACTCATTTGAACCAAAGTTCTAGGCAGAACCAGAATTGCCCGTAGTTTTCGTGTAGTCACATTGAGAAGGCACAAGACATGAAGTTTCTATATCAGATTAAAACCTTTGTCCATTTTCCAGGGGTTTGGTTTTTGAGTGTCCTAATACCATTGGGTACACCTCTTACCTAGATTTGTCATCCAATGCATTTCATCAACGTACCGTTCATCCTCCAACACTGTTCATAGTCCTTGAAACTACCAGTCTCTAGACACAATACTGACTGTTAGTTGAACTCAATGAAAATTGTGCATGTTAAAACAAGTGCCTATGAGAAAAGAGCACTATTTACAGGATCAGACGCTGTATAAAATCCGAGTGTCGATTAACTTGTAATCTACGAAAATGATGATCGCTGAGGTGTTAAAAAATGGAAAAGCAAAAAAAATTTCACCGTGAATACAAAAAAGATATATGAGAGCCATAAACAGTATGGCAATCTCGATCAATTTTTCCAATTAAACTCTACCACCTATATTTTTTAGGGGCTGATTTGGTGAAGTTTAACACAATCAATTTATGGTTCCAAAGTGAAAGGGAGTCTTAGAAGCTATCTACCCCCGCTGAGGGTCGGTAGTACCTCTTGCAACAGGGAAGTTCTCCTCAGGTTGCTTCTGCCACAAAAAATTAGCTGCTTCTATCCATCGTGGATGGACCAGAAATTTCTTTTCCTTCACTGCCCAACGAGACTTCTTTGTTCTAGCATCCTCTGAGACCACATGTGTCACAGACGGATCGAGTTCTTTGGAACATGTGGCTCCTAACTGCTCTGCCATTATCCAGAGAGGTTGCTTATCAGCCTGGCATTTGATGGAGAAAACATGGCTGAAAACAATTTTACATCCCTTCAGAATTTCGTTTCTAACTGTCTTTAACACCTGCATGGCAGAAAAAAGCTAATTTACAATGACACAATGGATGCAGAAAACTAAATAACTAGAATGGCAACATGCATATATGTAATTTGAGGGTCTCAGGAAAACACATACCTGTCTCACATCTTTGTTATCCAGATTGCCATCTAGTTCCTGCAAGAAGTTTCACAATCAACATAATCAAGCTCATGACACAAGCCACAATAACTTGTGTATAAACATTTTACCAATAAAGAGAAGAAGCATTACATACATCAAAGAACATATGGTGGATTTGCCTTAGCACTCTAAGAACAGAGGAAAGTACTCCTTCAATCTCACTTTCATCACTATTCATCTGAGAGAGAGACTTGTACTTGAGACCAAACTGTTGACAGCTTGAAGCAAAAAAATGATATCTATCCATCAATATCAAATTGTCCTTATGCATTGGCCATGCCTGTAATAAGAGAAGTTAACAAATATACTGTGTTTTTAACTAGAAAATGGTATAAAAAGATCACAAGAACTAGAATCATGAAAAGTGGATCCTATGGAAAATGGAAAAGGGCGGCAAGAAAGATATAAACAAATGAACTGAGAAGCGCAAAAACTCAAAATGTCCTTTTGATTTCCATCTCTAACAAGAACAACTTCAGACAACTGTCTGTCCAATGTAGAATTGAGAGACATAATTGATTAATCAACCATTAGAGAGACAAAACTCTCCTTGTCATCACTTTATCTTTGAACAATTATATCATCTCCTCTGCATAATTCATATAATCCTTCATTAGGAGAAAAAATATATCTAATTTCTAGGAATTTAGAGATATAAGAATGCCTTTTTCAAATAAAGCTCGTTCGAATTATTTTTCCTTTTAAACATGGTCCTTACATGGAAATATTCTGAGACAATCAAGACACAGAGATTAGCTAACCCACAATGCACACATATGTAAATCTAATCGTTATCTTATCAAAAATCCACTTACACTTTCGGTGTCATCAAGGATCAGAATGGCACTTTCGTCCCCTAGCACCACATCAAGACCCTTTTGATGTTTCTGGGTGCCATCATCTCGTGAGATCACTTTAGCGTTAAAGTACTCTCCACTGGGATCAAGCAGCTTGGCCATTTTTAAGGCATAGGCTCTGTCACCCATTGTATAGATGTACATCTCAAACATTTCACTCGCTTCCTTGAGAAATGTGTGAACAAAGGGCCTCAGCTTGGTCATCATAGGCATAGAGTCCAACTGGAATAGGCTGCCTTTTGGAATATCTATGACATGAACAAGGAGTCAGTACTGAAAAGATGTATAAAACCTTGGGAAATAAAAGAAAAAAATAAGATAGAAAGCATTAAAAGCAGAATAACACAAACAGGTAATGGACACATATACCTTGACATGGATCAGTTTGACCTTTTAAATATTCCTCCTCAAGTGTCAACTTTGTGAGAAGAGTAGAATTAAGAAGCGTATGATCAAGATCAAGAACCAAGTAAAGCTTCTTGCTATGTAACAGATTTTTCAGGTCTGCTTTACGTATTCTAACCATTTCATCATTCCCAAGCCTTAACCCCTGCAATTAAAAATGTCCTATCCATCTTAAGAATCTAGCAAAATCACAATAACATATAAAGAAATAGCCACGATCAGAATTAGCAATACAGAATCCAACATTTCAATAGGTAAATACCTGCTGTATGTACCCAACTGAGACACCAGATTCAAAATTCAATTCTTTCCCACAGACAATGCACATATTTTGATAAGATGCTGGATGTGTGCATATATCCTTCCCCACAGATAATTCTGCACATAATAGTTTTTCCAAGAGAAGAAAAGCTAGTAAGAGGCTAATTAGTGTATTAGCAATTTTGTAATTTAAGGACTAGACAAACAAGTCAAAACCTTACCTACGTTTTTTTCCATCACAAATGGAGAGATCGATCCTTCAGGATCTAATACATCCTGCACCTCCACCTTCAACCTTTTCGTCCTGCAAGTTACTTAAACATTTAAGTTTACTCAAAAGAATGATCTTTATTTTGACCAATGCATTCTTAAAGTAAATAAATGAAAAGGATTATCAGATGCTAAGATAATTATTGACCCATTAGAGATAGTACCTTTCACTTTCATGATCATCATAATCCTCAGCATTTTCATCTGGTTCAATATCATAAGCCTCAACCTCTTGATCACTTGGTGAGTCTGAAGAACCCGAATCCAGCTCCGCATCCAGATATGCAGCAAAGTCATCACCACTGCTGGATGAGTGCACCGGTGAATCAGTCACAAGCCTCATCTGAAATCATAGATGCAAATTAAAAAACCCAAATTTGAACATCTGCAATGAATAACCATCATAGACTAGTGCAAAGAAAATTGAAGCAGCATTGGTTCTTTCATCAAAAACCACAACATCTTAAATGAAATCTCAAACTTAGAATCCAATCATCGCCAACAAAAACTAATTAGCATCCACAGTATACTACCAACTATAATATGAACAAAACTAAATCAAGAATGTCAACAGCTAATAATCCTAGAAATTTATGAATGTAATATGAAGATACCTTAGCAGGATGAATTAGATCACCGAAACTAGAATCCTAGACCTTGGTCGTATTCCCTCTGCTTCTACGCCCCCGGTTATGAAGATTAAAGCCGTAACAATTGCTTGGACGATATCATCACGTAATCAATTGAGCATTTGCACTTTCAATTCAAAATCCAGGAAACGGAATGCCAAACTTCGGCAATGAGGCTGTAGCTTAGGGTTTTAATGGAAAAATTGAATGCTGCGAAGAGACAGTGAGGGTTGTCGTTAGTGTTGGGAACGAGAGAGAGAAGAGAGGAGTGTCGATGTCGGGACCGTAGGTTCGCTCGGAAAAATCTCAGGCGGAATGATGTGTAGGGACACGGCGACCAAACTTTATCATTAAAACATTAATACAAGCCCAAATTTCCGGAGGATTGAGGAGGGCTTCGGGAGGAAGAGTACAAAAATGAAACACTTAAACTTTCTTAATAAGATATGTTATATTGATTTAAGTACTTTAGTCATTATTTTTTCTCCTTGAAAGTAAAAAAATTTTAATTTGATTCGTATGATATATGAGTAAAATAAAATAAGAGAGGAGAGATTGTTATCTCTCATTATATAATCAAGATAAAAAAAAATATTATACTAAAACTTTGACTATGTTATTAGGGATATTAACAGGGTCTTGCGGGATCGGGGAGTCCCTCCCCATCTTCGTGAATGGTGAGGACGGGGATTCCCATAGGGATTTTTTACGGGAGGTAGATTTTACCTCTTATCCTTGTTCCCTGTAGGGATCCCATTCCCCACCAAGTAATATTAAATTATAATTTTTTTTGTCTTTTACATATAATTAATTAGTATTTAATTATAGTTAATAAAATTTTAAAAATTCAAATACAATTAACTAAAATTTTTAAATATAAAATTAAATATAAATTGTCCAAATATAAATAAAAATCAATTCAACATAAATAATTAAACTAACAATTAACAAATTTGTTCCAAACATAAACAAAGATTAATCCAAACTAAACTAAAGCATAAGCAAAAATTAAGCCAACAATGAAGGGGAAGATGAAAATGAAAATTGAGAAATGAATTAGGATTAAGATTAAATGTAAGTAGGGGAATGAATTGGGATAATTTTTATGTATTGGGTTGGGATGGGTTGGGTTATGTAAAATTGGGTTAAATTTAATTTTAATTGAATTAAATTTGAACTTGAGTTTGAGTTTGGGTTTGTGTTTGGGTTTGGATTTGGATTTGAGTTGAAAAGATAAATTAAATTTAAAATAAAATTAATTTATATTTGTGTTAATTTTTGCGGGGATGGGGATCCCCGCGGGGCTCCACGAGGCGAGGAAAATTTCTTGTAAAATTTTGCAGGGGGAAAATGTCTCCCATCCCTGCCCCGCAAGTAAGAATATTCCTCTCGACCCCATCCCCGTGACGAGGATCCCCACAGAGCCCTACGGGAATTGGGAGAAATTATCATCCCTATATGTTATCTAGTGTTATTGTATAATTGTAATTATTAAAAATATAATGTTGTATTGTTATGAAAA